GGTATCTCAGAATGTCTGGGAACAGAGAGCACAAGTGGCTAAGAGTAGCTGGGGATGAGTTGGATCAGTCATTAATATTTAAAAATCAGAATAAATATAAAACATGATTAATCTATTACCAGTGACAATATCAACTCTACAAACGTACCTGCAGAAGACAAGTAACGTGCTCCTCTTCTAGCCTCTGTTTAGTTAAGGCTTGTTCCACATCCCACCCAGACGCTGTCGAGCCTGTTCCAAAGCCAGTCCCTTTGGCCCAGTACAGCTGCTGTTCTTCTGTTGATGTATGGTTATGAGCGCTTGACACTTGTGGCTTATAATAACAAAAAATAAAAACGTATTACTCTTGGGCTTTATTTACCTTCAAAAATTTTTATCACTAAGAATACAAAATAGTCTATGGAAAACAATTTGCTGGTCCCTAAAAAAATTGAACACAGAATTACAATGCAACCCAGCAATTTTTTGAGTCACACAAAATGCACACACGCACACCCCTAAGAAATAAAAACTGGTACGATACAGGCATGTTCACAGTAACACTACTCAGAACAGCCAAAAGGTAGAAACAGCCCAAATGCCCACCAATGGATTAATGAATACACAAACACAATGAAGTATTATTCAGCCATCAATGAAGGACTGCTACATGCTACCACATGAACCTTGAAAACGTGAAAGAAGATAAACACTAAGGAACCCACGTTGTAAAATTCTATTTATATGAAATATCCAGAGTAAGAGACAGAATGCAGATTGGTAGTTGCCAGGAGCTGAACGAAGGGGTAAATGGAGAGGAACTGTTTATATTTAAGAATAATTAATTAATTAACTAATTAAAAATATTCATCAGGAAAAGAAGGGGTAAACTACCTTATAACCTAAAGAGTCTATGATTCAAAATGAGGCTAGGCGTGGCAGCTCACACCTGTAACCTTAGCACTCTGGGAGGCTGAGGTCAGAGGATCCCTTGAGGCCAGGAATTCAAGACCACCTGAGCAAGAGCAAGACCCCCCAACTCTACTAAAAATAATAGGAAAACTAGCCAGGTGTTGTGGCATGCACCTATAGTTCTATAGCTAATTTGGAGGCTGAGGCAAGGGGACCTACGGTCCAGGATTTTGAGGTTGCAGTAAGCTATGAGGATACCATTGTACTCTTGCTGGGGTTACAGAACCATATTGTGCCTCCAAAACAAAATTTAAAAAAGATCCAAAATGAAACAGAGAAAACAGTGAAAGAAACAGGGATATGAGCTAGATCCTTTTAGAATGAATCTAGTAAAAAGATATCTCAGGAGAATTCCATCCAAGTGTCATTTATGTTTTCAATCATGACTAAATTGATTCTATTTCTAGAAGGAATAACACTCAATTACTTACTTGTTCACAATGTGAGGTGTAAAAATAACTCTTGGGAATAGAGGAAATATAAAAAATAAGAATAGTGTAGAAAAAGGAAAAAAAACTGTTAATGTAACTATAACCCTGTAAACGTCAAATCTTTTTTTTTTTTTTTTTTTTTT